AGATATTCTGTCATCTTCTTCTCTACAGTTAAAATCCTCCCCGACGATCCTAATGATCTCTACCGCCGTAGGTTTGCTACCTGCACCCGTAAATATTTTGATTACGAAATCCTCGATATATTCAGATTGATGAACACTTAATCCGATATGTAAAATTGAAGCACCAATGTACAAAATGCATTTCAATCTCTTCGATTGCACCCTAATCTCTCACGATTGTAGAACTTTGGGATAAATTAAGTTAAATAACAGGGTAAATTGAATAAAATTCGAAGAAGAAGGATTTTTTGTGCAAAATTAAATTGAAGATATAGAGAAAGTGTGTGTGAGAGAGAAAGAGAGTCTTAAAGTTTTTAAATAATAACGAATTATAATGGCCAGAAGTTAGTATCGTGAATCTTGACCTATTGTGGAGCAAAAATTGTTTCATAAAAATTTAAGCGACTCGATTTAATTACACAGATGTAATCCTTTTTTCCTCTTCATCATCTTTGAGTTTTTTTTTTTTTTTCGTTTTCGTGTAAAGAATCGAAAGTCGTACGTCGTATTTCATCCAATTTAGAACGTGCGTGTCGCGTTCGTGCAATACCACCTAAGCGTTCTCGATTCAGCGAATGACACCCTTAAATCTTGTCTTCCCCAACGATCCACAAATCGCTTCGTGTCCACACGAACGTAACGATTCCTTTCGATTCAATGAAAATTCCCGTCGTTTGGGAGTTGCTTGGACGTTTCGTCCGGCCTTCTTCTCTAATAACGATGGATCGTTAATTAAAAGTGTCAATCATGGTTGTAACGAATGTAACAAAAACATCACGAGTATAAAGAAGAAGAAGAAAAGGAGGCGCGAGGATCAGAGAAAAGCCGGACATCAACGAAAGCACGAAACCGAAAATAACATTACATAATCTAGCAACTGGTGTTTCCTTTCAAGTTAAGGAATAGTTGAAATCACTTCAACTTTACTTGAACAGCATGTTTCAAGCATGTTTCAAGTCAGAACGGAACAACAGGTTTGTATTAATAGAGTGCCTCAGAATTGCTCGGCAAATTAAGCAACTCGATCGGTAAGAGGCAAGAGTAGAGAGAAAAAGATCTTCCGTCCCGCTTGAACAAGAATTCAGCGTTTGTTTAATTGAATTAATATTAAACATCATTAAGTATTATTGTCAAATAAAAACTATATTGTCGTACAATCAAAAATAAACAAGTTTTCGTAGACGTTCTCGAAGTCGTGTATTCGTACGTGATCGGAATAGTTTCGCTTATAGTCACGTTTCGCAAGACGAATGTGAAACGGATAAAAAGCCACGAGTCGACTCCGCGTCGATGTGCATACGGATTTTGAATTTCGGTAAGCGGTTTTGCCGCGTTGCTTGCCGGATATCGGATGACAAGGTTATCGGTTATGAGGCAAATATTAGCACAGCGTGTCACCATCCACGCGGCTGGCATTCATACGCAGGATTGACCGTCGAAAAAGATGCGAGCTATCAAAGCGAGAAAATGGGAATGTAGATTCAGTGGTGTGTCGCATTGCGGCGCAGCGGCAAAAGTACCCGATGCACCGACCTCGAAAAGTGCGACACACGATGCACTCGAAACTCGAGCGAGGCCGGACGAAAGTCGTACAACGCCCCTCTCGATTCATCGGTTCTCGCGTTTTCCACTATTTACGAATTACAAACGAATTTCGCTCGCCTCGCTGGTCGACGAAAGACGGAAGGATATTCCCTACGCGAGTATCAATCGACAATCGGCGTTCGATCGATCGACAAATATGTACATCGGTTGCTCCATAAGTTCGTACCATACATTTTATATTACAAATTTCTATCAATGTTATTATTTAAGACTTTCGGACGCAAACGTGGCCAAGAGGAAATATAGATTTCACCAGCATTGCAGCCAGCTGCCTCCGGAGTCTGAGAACGCACCACCTCTTAATTTTTATCTGTTTTATTCTTCTGTTTGTCTCGGTCGTCGAATGTAATATTATTATTTATTGCGTTTGTAGAACTTATTTAAAAGAGGCAGAGTAGGAAACTTGCAAAGGAATTTATTTGCTGAACAATAGCTCGTTTTCCAAAAAACTACTGAAAAATTTTTTTTCTCGTGTAAATCGAAAGAAAGGAAGAAGAAGCGGAAAATGAACTTGGATACCGAACAATATTGAGAATATATAGTGACAAAATATTCAGTAATTTAATAGCTATTTCATCATATTTTGCTATTGTCGATGTTAGAATATAAATATTCCGCTAAAATCTAAATTAACATTTGTTATTGATCTCCCGTGTTGCCAAGAATATCTTTTCTTCCTTTCTGATAAGAATGTACAAATTCTTAAAGGAGGATGCCAGCCTTTTCTTCTTTAGTTACTTCTTTCATCCAAAACTAGTCAATGTAATATTTTCATCGTTCTCAGTGAAAATGTAGTCATCTGAAAGTGTATACGTAATTCGTGGGAAGTTTAAAGATGCAAACTATTTGAATTACGTTATTCGAGAAGGATGACATTTCTACGTGTTGAAGCACGTGACTGAGTCCTTGACTTGTTATCACTATGATTTTCAATCGTTGCTTGTAACCGTTGCTTCCAATTCCTAATGAAGTAACGATGTCCCAAGCTCAGAGTAACTTGGGGCTCTGGTATCGACAGAGGATTGATGTCGCCGTCTCGTAGAAATAAGCAGACGATCGAGAGACAACGATTTCTCGGAACCTTGTGGAGAATCTCCCAATCCACGAGCCAAAATCTCAGTGGTCGCGGTACGTAATGGACGATATTGATCGTGCAATAAAGATTTCCGTTTCATTTGCTTCGACGAACGCGATCCGTCTAATAATGATAGAAATGGGGGTCGCTGGAACGAGAGACGCGCCTTTTTTTTTTAATAAAAAATAAAAAAATGTTTTAAAACACGATTTCACGCATTCTTTTGAATACGCGACTAGAGAAGGTTTGTTTCACTCGCTGAATATTAGAACAAATATTCCTGCGAGGCGTAACGATCAAAGCAATTGATTAACTTATTCGAAATGTCGCTAATAATTATACAAGAGAATCAGCTTTTTCTCTTCTATTAACTACCCCTCGGAAAAAGTATTTCTTTTCCTTTAAATAAACCTGCGAATGTAGAGATAATTACAAAATCCCATGTAATTTAGAAACTGTAAAAGAGGGAGAGTAGGACTGAATCAGTAGGAAACGAGAGAAATCGTCGAGAGACCAAGGCTCTATCCCTCGCGTTCACGTGTATACATGTGTGTGCGAGCGCGCGTGCATCTATATATCGGTTGGTCCATACTTAAAAGGTTAAACGAGTAGAGCCAAGAGATCGGTAGGTTGAATATCTCCGTGGTTGGCGTCACGACGCTCTAGACTCTAGACCATAGACCGTTGGGGGGTTACGTTGAGGGTGTGGACGTCGTTGGCTCTAGTAGGGGAGTCTCTGATTCTGTCTACGTTGGTATCACGTTGTGTTGTTGTTGGTGTTAGTCTGAGTGTCGATGTCGATGTTGATGCCGGTGTCGGTGTCGATGTCGGTGGTGTCGGTGTCGGTGTCAGTGTCAGTATCAGTGTCGGACGACGGTGTCGGTGTCGACGACGACGACGACAACGACAACGACAACGACAACGACAACGACGACAACGACGACGACGGTGTCAGTGTCGGTGGTGCCTACAGGCTAGCTACGCAAGGGTAGAAAAGAAAAGGAAATAACGGGACAGCGTGCGGAGAGTGGAGGAGGGTAAGGAACGAAATGAAAGGGGTGAAGTGGCGAAAGAGAGAAGAAGCTGGGGCTGCGGGGAACGGAAGGCGGAAGGCAGACGGATGGCAGACACCCCCATGCTTATCCTCGTCCCTCCAACGGCGCTCGGTCCGTGACTCACTAAACCGTTAAGGGATAAAGCCGCGGCTCTGCTTTTCACAGTGTGCGCTCACACCGACACCGATATTTACCAGATCCGTGTGCGTTAACCTGCACCCCGTGCCTCTACGCGTGCACTGCTCGATAGCTTCGATGTATCTCTTGTTACGCTTGTACACGAACAACGTTCTCTCGCCCCCTTGTATTTCATCGCGGTCTCCATGTGTGTATGCATGTATGTATCTATGTATGTATGCGAATCCCTGTGTGTCTCCGCGAACACATTGTCTAGCCGGCACACGAGCTTTGAGCCGTCCGAGTGCATTACACTTTCTCTCTCTTCATCCCTTTATCTCTCTCCCTCCCTCCCTCTCTCTCTCTCTCTCTCTCTCTCTCTCTCTCTCTCTCTCTCTCTCTCTCTGTCAACTCCACATCTCGTGTTCTTTTTCTCTACATGTGTGTATATGTATATATATATAGATATGCATATAATATGTATATTTCCACTCTGTCTGTCACGGTTCTTTCTATTAGACAGTTTTTATAATACGTGCAACGCGAGCGAGATTACAGCCGAGTGATTTGTTTAGAGGAAAAAAAAATTCATCTCGCGCGTGGTGTAATGTCGTTTCTGTAATGCCCGTCGGATTTCTGATTTCGATCGATCGTTCGGTACACTGTGCAATAAAGTTGAAAGAGTTCTATCAGGAACACTCGATGTGTCTCTTCACCCTCTCACTCTCTTTCCTTTTTGGATTATCGTTTCGAGAAAAAGGCAAAACGTGGTAAATTCACGTTGTCGGAGCTAGGAAAGATTACGCGGCTAGAGGGAGAAGCCTCCGCGAACGTATGAGTTGACGAAGGTCGGCGAGCAACCACGTTTCAAAGTTGAACAACAACGCGTACACGTTCGTTTCTCGGTTTAACTTCGCAGGACGAAAGTGTCACAAATACGCGTAAAAAGATTGGTGTGAGAAAGGAGCTAGGAAAAGTTGAAAGGTTCGTGACAAAAATTAAACTACAGACGTTCGTGCACATTTTCTTCAAACGCCTCTCGTTTATTTGACAATTTGAAATGAAAATAAAATTCTCTTCTAACGGAAACAATTGCTTCTTGTTCGTAGGACGTACGCTGAACGGACAGCCGTTGCTGGAGTTTCCAATGTCCAGTGGAGAACCAGCGCTGGAGCCGCTGAGAATCAAAAGAGCAACCCTTTGGACGAGAGTCGAGTTCAGGCACGCCCATCATTATCAACATTATCGCCAGAGTCAAACCAACCAGAAGAATATTACTCTGTGGGTATTCAGAGTACGCTGCGGCAACACGACGCACTTGCGTGGAAAGGTAATCCTAACCGGTCGATCATATTTATAATCGTTCGTAACGCCAAGATCCATTTCAAATTTAGCAGAATGGCAAGACACTGGGGACAATAGCAATAGCAAAATAAATGCACAATGGGTATCAGTAAGTGTACGCAGTAAGGCAAAAGTAGAGCAGAGTCTATCCACGACTATCACGGTCTTACATAGATTGGCTGTTACTACTTACAGGCGTAAGCGTTAGGAGGTTAACACCTTTCTTATTGCAATTCCCCGTATTCCTTCACTTCGTTGCGTCCGTAATTTTTATAATTGTAATTGTAATTGTTCACTATTAAGCCTGCTAATGTTGAAGTAAAGTCAGTGAAATTTGAGTTTTATACCTGTTTCGAGGACCGTTACGTTCATCGAAGATGCTACCTTGTTGAAACATACCTGACAACGCTTATATGATTTATTTATACGTTACTTACGTTACGGTCGTCTCGAAAAATCTTCACGTGACGTCACATCGCACGTGACACTGATAAGAGAGAGGACTTGAACACTTTCGTCCGACTTATATAAATTTAATCGCATTAAAACGCATTGCGATCTTAAGTCGTCTTAGCAATCATTCGTCCAATATTACCGGCTACGGTTGACGGGTTTCAGCCGATCGGGAAGCTTCAAGTAATGCCGGCTAGGGTGAAAAAAATCAAAGCGAAAGAGAAAAAGAAAGGAAAGAATAACAGAAAATAACACATTCGCGTTATCCCGTTTTCCTTCCCGTGAACACAGAAAACCCGGGAATAACGCGGATATACACGTGGTTTTCGCAGGAGCTAGGCCAACACTTGGAAATGGTCACGTCCCTTGGTGTAAACGTTGGACAACTCGGTTGGCTCAAGTTCGACGTCACCAAGGTTGTGAATAGTTGGTACACGACGAATCGCGATGCCGCCAGGGATAAACTGACGTTACTCGTCGACTGTACCGGATGCGGCTCGCACGTCTACGTGTCAACGTTTGACGGACACTCCCCGCACGTGATCGAGTCGTCTTTGAACGCCAAAGGTACTCTCATTTTCCAGCGTGCCTCGCTATATTCTATATCAACTACGTTGATAAAATTTGAAAAACGAAGACAATCGTTGGGTAATTGAAACGTACGTTTATGCGAGAAATGAATCTCGTAATTTCGTATTTTTTAAAACACGTTCCCAAGTGCACAGCGCGTATATAATAACAAGTATTATTTGCTTCACGATTCACGACAAATCGTAACCATGTTTCGCAGGTACTCAAGATCCAGACAGACCTTTTCTAGTCGTCCGCACGGATCCTGCGGCTGTGAAACGGGTTAGGAGACGAGCGATCGAGTGCAGCGGTGCTATAAAGGGTCAATGCTGCAAGCAAAGATTCTACGTGAACTTTTCTCAACTCGGTTGGGACGACTGGATAATTGCTCCCCAAGGGTAAGAACGACAGCGAAATCGTGTCGTAAAATCTACATCGAACGCGAACCACCACGCCTACGATCGCAGCACCAAACAACTTGTCGAATATTCCACTTTTGAAAAGTATTAAACGGTTGGCCAATCGTAAGGCAGAGGGCTCAGCTTTATAAAAAACGAAGAAACGAAAAATCACATCGATAATCTGTCTTTTTTTGTCAGTCTCGACAATTTTTCGCAATTCTGCTCGCAAAATTCTCACTCGAAAGCAAAAAACGAACGATTGATTTTGTTCCTCCGGGCCTCTAAATTTTTCATCTCGAGTTCCATTATAAATAACACGGCCTGCAATTTTATAGCTAAAATAAGCCTCGCCTCTCGTAACGAGCGCCTATGTACCTATCCTAATCCTATTTATGACGGGCAGTATAGATCTGGTATAGACCTATGTAGTCAAAAGAACAAACGAGGTGTAACGTTACTCGACGCAACGTTGTCAGGGTGGACGGTTGTTTCGTCGATCGAATTGTTATCAAGTTAGCCTCGCGTAGACACACACGGGTGGGTGCGGGGGTTGTACGCGCCGGTTGCACGGTGGCACGCGACGATGCTTTCGCAGGGAGCCGTCGATCAGTAGCTGCAAGTCACTCGTAGGGCATCCCTGTGAAATCAGAGTGTCGCTTACAAGTGCAACGGCCCTAAACCCTTAACTTACGAGCAATTATTGCAAACAGAATTGTCTTAAGCTTAACGATGCATGCTCCGCGAGAGGAACACACGCGAGTTTGAGTTACAACGCGCGACAGACGACTCAATTTCAATTCCATCTGGCCAGATGGCTCGCCTGAATCCCCCTTTCGGAAGTATATACTTTCGTATACTATGTATTTCGAAACTGTCGACAGAGTCCCACTTAACGAAAGAAACTGGTCGAACGAGCCTCACGGAGTAACACGGACGCGTTTGTTCGATGTGTGCAGGTACTACGCGAATTACTGCAGGGGAGATTGCGCGGCCGGGCACAGAACACCGGACACTTTCCTCAATTACTACACCCACGTGATCGAGGAGTATCGGAAGATGGATCGACTGGCTGGTATGCAGCCTTGCTGCGCTCCCCTCAAGTTCTCGCCAATGTCGTTGATCTACTACGGTCCTGACTCCAACATCATCAAGAGAGATCTACCGAAGATGGTAGTGGACGAATGCGGCTGTCCTTAAACGTTGCGTCCTCCGCTCCGTATTTGCTCCTTCTACGCTCCCATTGCCGCTCCCTTCACGATCCCTGTGTGTGTATGTGTGTACGCTAGCTCGAAGCCGACTCGAAGGGGGTAGCGTGTCTATTGAAAAACGGCCCTGATCGAGATTTCCAGCCGGTCACGTTTGTATACACGCTCATATACCTCGAATCTCGATTCGATACTGTCAAACTTGATGATGCTTCGCTCGACCACGAGTACGAATAAGGTTGTTAACCGCGACAGGGCCGTTCGTTGGCTCACCTATTACGGCTACCTCGACTTTCGATTCGCTCTGTACATACTCTTTGTCACGGAACATAACGAAACGATTCTTCGTCCGAGAACAAGCTGGACTTTGCGTTTCGACTTTGCTCGCCGAGCCACTCGCCGGTCTTCATACTTTTTAAACAGATTGGTACTCTCGTTGGACGGTGAATCGATCGTCGAATCGACTGTCGGCACTCGACATTCTTTGTTCGCGGGACGGGTTGTCAAGTCGTTCGGAGCAACGGGGAACGTTCGAGCAAAGAAGGAACGCGAGTTTTCAGCTGTTAACGTCAATGTTTTTTCTAGCAAGACTTCTAGCTAAATTACTTGCGCGTTTACTGATAAGAGCCGCCCGAGGGCAAATTGAAACGGACGTAAGTTGAGCGCGAGAGGACTAGAGAGAAAATTAGAGCGCGTGAGACGATGTGTGCGAGAGGGAGGAAAAAATGAAAATAATACGCGAACAAGTAGAACTGGGATAGAAAGGGTGGGTAATAAAGAGCGCGAGGAGAAACGAATAAAAAAAGAAAAGAATGATCGGCGACCACCTCGGCGAACAAGAGTTTACATTCGTTTCGTTTCCATGCCGTGTTATTTAAGATTGACTTCACGTGGTGTGCTCGTGGCGGAGAGCACCACGTTGCGAGGGGGTTGGAAAGGGAATTCGGTGAGGCGTAGGGGCACGAAACAATTTAAACGAACTTCTTACTAAGAGCTTAGTCTTTTCGTATTAGCTGCGCGATTAAGATGCAAACGAAGGAAAGGAACTAATGAAAGTAAAACAAAAATGAAAGAAAAAGAAAAACAAAAAACAAAAAAGTGATTCCATATTTACGGTTTATGTATTACATATGTATATTATATACACACACAGACACACGAGGTGATTCAGCCGAGTATAAATATTTAAATACGAGCGTAAAGTTTAAGTGTAAAGAGAGAGAGAGAGTGAGAGAGAGAGAGAGAGAGAGAGAGAGAGAGAGAGAGAACTCAATCTGATTGCCTTGTTTTTTATGCGAAACATTCGAAAGTATCGAACGAAACGACTTAAACTGAAAAGAAAAAAAAATTATTATTATTATTATTATTATATTATTATTATTAAAATGCATGCGTACACGATAGATTTATATGTATATGTATCTACATCTGCATATATATATAAATGAAATATAGATACATACACACGAGGGATTAAAAATAAAAGAAAAAAAAAAGGAAAAGAGGAAAACCAGGGATGGGAGGGTGGGGTATTTTGGTCAGGGGGTGGGTGGGACGGGGTGGGATGGTCTTAGGAGTCCAAAACAGATGTGAACAAAAGATCATGATGATTCTCATTTAATAACTAATTTAATCAACAATATTTCCGTATATAACGAACCGATAGAATGAATCGTTAAAAACGTCACACGCGTGTTATAGGGATAAATATACTTTTTTCTTAACTCAAAGTTATAAAATAACTTTATAAAGTTCCAGTCTCTTATAAAAATGCAACCTGCCAGTTTCAGAAGGGTATTAGAGGAAAAAAAAAAAAAAAAAGAGAAGAAAATTACTCGTACGTGCAAATTTTGCGCGTGCATTATTGTACGTTTGTAACGCACATTGTTCTAGGCAGTAACTATACCTAATAAAAGTACGCGTTTAACAGTTATTCGGTTCACCAAAAAAAAAAGAAAAAAAAGCTGAAAAGAATGAAAAAATCGCGTCTCTCTTAAAGGATTTTCTTCGGATTTTTTATACGCGCACTATCTGTGTTCTTATCGGCAAGAAGAGTTTCAAAATTGCATTTCTCGGATAATCGTTCGATTATAGGGATACGAAAACTGGGGAGAACTAAACGACAAATAAAAGGAT